GTCGCAGATGCTTTTGCTTCGCTTGCTAGATCTCTAGCCTTCTTATCTCGTATCCTGGCAGATTTGGTATCGAGATGGAAGTCGGCATCGACCAAGAAGACATCGTAGACGTTCATCTCCTCAGGCGAGTCCACACAAACGACATAGCTGTGTCTTACTAGGAACCACTTGGGCCAGTGACGGTTCATCATGGCTAATTTAGTCCAGCCCTTCCTGTTGTCGACGCCTTTGGAGGATTTGATCATCATGTAGCCTTCCTTGCCATGATAGCCGCCCTCGGCCGCTAGGCGGACACCCAGAGCAGACAGCTCGAGGAACTTGCACAGGCGGTTGCTGTCAGGACGGAAGATGAGGTAGGTCATGAGACCTCGCAGATATTGTTCCAACTTCTTCCGTTGGCGTTCATGATGATTCTGTTTCGCCTGTAGGGGCTGACCGGCGGCGCCAGCAAAACTACCCTGTCTCGCTACGAGGGCACCGACAGCACCCTGAGCTTGAGAACCACTTACGCTTGACTGTCTGCGACCTAGGAATGAGGACTTGCCTCGCTTGGGTCTGTTGGGGCGTTCGGTAGCGCTTGCATCGCCGTCTGGTCCGCTGGCTCCTGCTGCAGCCTCTTCCTCCTCTTCCTCACCTTCGTCATCAAGGATACCGTAACCTCGAAGACCTCGGAGATAGGGCAATACACTTCTGGGGAAGCGTGGGAGTTTCGTGCGTGGATCTTCTTTCTCTTCTTCCTTCTCGGCCTCGCCGTCTTTGGATGTCTTGTCCTTCAGTTCTCGCATACGATTAGCCGGGCGACTGCGGAAAGCGTCTTGCTTCTCCTGAACTTTGAACTTGAGATGCAGATTGGCAAAATCGGCGACACTTCTGTAGACAACCCACTTCATCCTGGTCAGACCACTGCCGTATTCCAGCTCTATGCGCAAAGCAGTATGCCGATCGCCCTCCTTCTTTGCGGGGCGGTCTGTATCGGTGATGGTAACCTTGAGCTGCTCGAGAAGCACGGGAATACGCCTGTGGCCGTGCTCATCGCGTTGGAACATGCTGGCAAAGAATAAGGCTGCGGGTGCACCAGCAAGCAGTTCAGCCATCAGCTCGGCCGACTTTGCGTGGTCGATTTGGCGTTCGGCCTTTTGTCGGTTGCCGAGCAGCTTGAGGCTGTTCTTGATGGACTTCCACTTCTGCGCACTCAAACTTGACGTCCGCTCGCTACGCATCCGCCATGGTGAGGGCTGTGTGTCTCCCGCCGCACCCCTGAAGGTAGTCAAGCTTCGCAGGTTGCCGGTAGGACGACTCTGGTGACCCTCTTCCTCGCCGTTGGGGTCGTGTCTTCGCAGACCTCCGTACGAAAGTCCCCTCGCACTGTGTAGTCCGCGTGTCCATGCGCTCTCTTTTGCGATGCGCGAGCGGCCCTCGTCCTCTGAGTAACCCTGACGCTCGTTCTCGGGTATGTCGTCCATGGTGGAGCGGCGTAGGAAGCCCGGGCGGGTCGAGGTAGGCGTCATGGTGGGTGAGTCACGCGAAAAGAAGCCGCCTGTTGTCTGCTTGGGCGTGGTAGGGGCCGTTTGGGTGCCTTCGCCCTCGCCGTCGAACCAACGGCGGCTGCTCTTCCGCCTCTTTTGTCTCGGTCTTCTTGAAGCACCCTCGCCAGCGCTAGACTCGCCATCAGCATCGGCCTCGCTGTCGTGTCCCTCGAATCGCGGCTCGTCGTGCTCGGATGTGGGCGAAAGCTGGCCATGGGGTGAGCCTTCATGGCCTGAGCTCCCTCCCAATGCACTCAGGCTCCTGCCGTGTCCCTGCATGGGCGCTGCCAGTGCCCTCAGCTTGCCCATGAGCGACGAGCTCTGTCCACTCCGCTCCTTGCCCTTCCCTTCGCCGTCTTCAACCTCCCATGACTGCTGGCGCGAGTTGGCGGCGGGCGGATCGGATGTGAATGTGGCGGAGCGAGCGAACTGGACGCTCTTGCGTTCTCGGGGTGCGTCGGAAAGCTCGCCCTCGGTAGGGTGTCGGGACATGGGCGCAAAGGGCGGGTAGTAGGAGCTGGTGGACCCATTGGACATGTGCGAGGAGGGCTTCGGGGCGCGGAGGGGGGCTTCAGCGGCTTCGACAGGCACGGGGATACTACCCCCGTTGGCGTTCGCTGGGGCATGGAAAGGGAATTCGCCGGCTTCCTTGCTGGAGATGGGCGAGCCGGTCGGGGCAGAGCGCATGATCTTGGGGGCGCCGTCCGAGGGCGAGGGGTTGTGTATGTCTTGCGTCTCATTCCTGGGCTGTCCCAAGCTAAGCGGCGATAGCAGTCGGCCGGACTCGTCTGTCCTTCCTGATACTGCAGGTGATCGCGAGCGAGGGCTGCGCGTCGTGGGCGAGCCCCCGGTCTTGCTGGAGCCAACCATGGTAACGACACAGAAGAGGCAGGAAGTGTCGGTGGGTGTCTCTCACGGCGAGGTCGCGTGGGGGTGTGGTTGCTCGGCTTCTAGGGCGCTATACAGCCATGGTAGCCAGGAAACGTGGTGCTGCCGTCACTCGTCACGATGGATTGATGGAATGCTGCCCCAGGTGGAGTGGCAGTATACTCGCAGTGACAGGTCTATGTCATGGATAGGCGAGAGAAAGAGACACGCGGCGCAGGTGATCAGTGTACGTCGTGCTGGGTCCCTGCGCGGTTCGAGTAATCTCCCAGGTGCTTTCCCCGGGCGTGAACTGTCTGGTTGCGCTAATACAACAAGGTTTTGGCGTCAGGGGCCCTCTCCGCCTCGCTGACCGCCTGCACCGCGTCGAGGCTCCACACCACAGATATGTACGATGCAGCGCCCTGCAGAACGCGTCAAATATCGCTTTCGTCGCGTTCGTGACATCGCATTCACATGCAACGCCCGCTTCTCTGCGAAAGAGACTCGACGATGTCGCCGCCGTCTCTCTGCGGCGTGGCTGCACCCCGCACTGTACTCCCAATCACTACAAGCATACCGAACTCACCACACGTGTGCACAATGGAAAGACCCCCTGTACCACTGTATAATCGCGCCATGCATCCATATGCCATGGCCAGCACATCGCCCAGTGCCGCCTGTGAAGCTTGTCACACGATGATGTAGTTCTGCCGTCGACGGCAGCCTCGGTCGGCGATCCCCTGCCCCTCCGCATGCCCATGTTCCAAGATACACCAGACGAATAGCTCCATATTCTTTTCTCCAGACCTGCTAATCGCCCAACCCTATATCGCTATCCTCACTATTCTTAGGCCCCGCTAGCCAACATGGCAGCGACTACGAATCCCCTCCACGGGACGCAGAACTCGTCCGACCTCCCCGTCTCCTCCCGCACCATCACAATCGCCGGCATCCTCGTCGACGTCCATGGCCTCGACCAACTCCCTCCTTCCCCATCGTCAGTCGCCTGCCTATGGCTCCTCAATCCGCGATTGCAGACAAAAGAGACTATGGCTCCCATAGCCAGACGCGTCATCTCCACGTGGAACAAGCGCATACAAGACGGCCGGGCTGGCAAGAACCCCAAAGGTTTAATTGCCGCTGCATTCGACCAACGTAATCACGGATCGCGCAAGGTGGACGATTTGCACAATCAAGCCTGGAGGGAAGGAAACGAGACGCATGCCCAAGACATGTTTGGATGCTTCCACGGCACCGCGACCGACACCTCTCAGCTCATCAACCATCTCGAATCCTACATCTTTACCGCCAAGGATAGCCCCAAGATCGAACAACACTTTGCCCTCGGAATCTCGTTGGGTGGACACGCGACATGGCACTGCTTGCTAGGTGACCCCCGCATCACCGCTGGCGTAGTCGGCATCGGCTGTCCAGACTACACGCGCTTGCTGACTGACCGCGCACGCCTATCCAAGAGAAAGACATACACGGAAACAACACCACCTGGAAGCGCATTCCTCGGATCCCCCGATTTCCCACAGGCGCTGCAGGACGCCATCGCCCAGTATGATCCTGCCGGTCTACTGCTGCCGGGCATGTTCAATCCTCTAGGAAACGACACATTACCCGATCAAGAGCAGCTATCTAGAATGAAGGCCCTGATGAAGGAGAGACTTCAAGGCAAGCGCATTCTGAACCTCAGTGGACAGGCAGATAAGCTCGTTCCCTACTCGGCTGGTGAGCCGTTCTACAAGATCTTTAAGCAGGTACTAGCAGAAGACCCAAGTCTTGACATCACCTTCGAAGACGTGTTATTCGAGGGCGTAGAACACGCTTTTCCTAAACCTATGGCAGACAAAGCAGCGGACTGGCTATGTGACATTCTGGCCACGGACGATGGGCCTATGTCAAGTAAAATATAGTGAAGCGCATACAAACAGCCATCGCACGTATTTGAATACTCAAACAACACCGTCATAGTATCGCATCTTTCTTTCGCTTTGCTGGTCACTCGTTCATCCTCTACTTCTGTTTCTTGCTACTGCCAGAACTACCAAACATCTTGCTTCCATGTCTGCCTCCTCTCGACGCACCATGCGCAATCTGCGAAACCGCCTAGCCCCAGAACACGTAATCCCACGCTACCACGCCTTCTCCACTCCCGAAGAGCAAGCAGCATACATCGATGACACAGTCCCTTCTCCCGCCATCCTCCCTTACGCCGTGAACAGCTCACCCACGTTGACCGAGATATCTTTAGCTCGGGAAATAATCATCAGGCCCTTGGAAGAAGACGGCGATGTTTACGACCAAGGAACTTCAAGCAACCAGCAGAAAACAGCGGAAGAACACGTTCTTGAGCGCATTGGCAGATTAATCGCTATGCTCACACTGTACAACCTAGCCAGGTCGTGTGAGGAGATTGGAGAAAAAGATTGGGAAGAGTACATCACACCCTACGAAGAAGGCGATCTGGAGATGCTGGAACGTGTCTGCCCAAAGAAATGGTGGGACAAAGAGATCAGAGAGGCATGGCCGAATCTCATCGTATTTGCGCGACGGGCAAGGAGACATCCTAGTTAAAACCGATCGCACCAGATAGTCCACTCACACTAAAGTAAACCTCTCCACCAACCCCCCATCATCCATCCACTCACACACCCCCAAATCCTTCGCTGAAAAAGGAACTTTACCTAACCTCTCATACACATTCCCCTCCCTCCCCTCCACCCTCGCCACAATAATCGCATGAAAACTTGCCTCTCTCTCCATCTCCGCAGGCCTTACATGCTTCCACAGTATCGCAGCCCACAACTCCCTCCCCCTCGCCCTTTCCGTATGAGTCTGCGTGTCGAAACAAGTATACGTAGTCTCCATGTCTCCTTCCAACTTCTCCCTCGTCTGAGCCACAGCACCCTTCTGCCGATTGGGGAAAACATCGCCCTCGCCTTCTCTCTGTTCCGGAGAAGGGTACAAGCGTTCTAGCGGTGCGCTAACGTCTATATACCCGTCTGTTACCTCGCCGAAAGGATTTTGGGCGCTCTTCAACGTGATACTCGTAGCGTGGATCTTAGCTAGAGCGGTCCAGTCACCCTTGTCCCACCCCACACCAGAGTTCGGGCTGAAGAGGCCGAACGGCCCGTCGATGGCGGCCCAGGACCAGCTCGGTGCGCGGTATACTGCTGGTGAGGTTGTCGTGCCGCAGGCTTGCCAGATTAGGTCGTGAAGTAGGGTTGGGTACCAGTGTCCCGCGAGGTAGGTGGTTGGAGAAGGGAGCAAGGAAGCGTAAGTGCGTGCGAGGCCAGAGAGGGCGGGCAGTTTATCCGAAGGTTTGGTTAGAGAACGGCGGGAGTAGGCGTCTAGCACTGCGTGCCAATGTAGCGTGGGGTTGTCTTTATCTGGGATAGGTTTATCCGAAGAGGAAGGGTGTGTGTGGGATGGGAAGGTACGGGATGTAGTTGGGAAAAGGGTATCCCCTCGTCCTGGTAGGTAGAAACCCTGCTCGCTGAGGAAGGAACAGTAGCACTCGAAGAACATCTGCTCCGTGCCGAAATGTAGTACACGCGGTGCGAGCCAGCGTTCTTGTAACGCCCAGCCGCGTTGGCTGAGTGGTTCGGTCTTTAGCAGTGCGTTGTCTCCCGCCCAGGAGGGCTTTGCGGCTGTTTCGCGGGAGGAGGAGAAGGCGTGGAGAGTTCCTTTGATACCATCTGTGGTTGTGTATGAGAAAGGGGAGTAGATGGGTGCGGGGCGGTTGGGTGAGAAAATGGTGAGACCGGATGTAGAAGATGGAGAACCGGTTGCGGAGAGCATGATGTAGGCGTTTGAGTAGACAGAGGCCATGCGCGATGTCTCGCGCGACCAGTCTTCTGAGTCGTCTTGACAGATACTGGGGTTGTTAGTGTTTGGTGTTCTGAGTAGAATGGGGAGGGTTGGCTTACCAGAGGGAGTCGATCCATAGATAGCCGATTCCCATTTCTCTGGCTATGAGGATGGCGTCCTGAAACGTCTTTGGGAGCTGGTCGGTATCGATACCCCTCTTGTTGGCTTCGATATTGGCACGTGTGGTTGCGAACGGGCTTGAATCGCCCCAGACATAACTCAGTGCTGCATACCGTCCCAGTTCTCCTTCGATGGGCTCATAAAGCGCTACTCTGTGTGGCGTCGAGTCTCGTATATCCAAGACACGAGCTGGAAGAGGTGCCGCATCGACATGACAGCGCCGATCCGTCCGTTGCTTGTCGCAATCGCGTACCCAGTTCAGGGCATGTGCAAGTGTATGCGGCGATGAGGAGAGTGTCTTGCGACCTCGAACGACAGCGGCCAACGGATCGCCGTCTACAACGCTGTTAGTCGAAGCAACAGCTTTACCAAATCTCTTTGATACTTACAATCAGCACATAATCCCACAGCAGCAACCACCCAAACCTGAAACCAATACTTTGCATCGACCGACACCACCATGAAACCTCCGGTATCATTCACACCCCTAACCAGACACATCTTCCAATCCGGTCCTCCGCCACACTCGGCACGAATCCCAGGTTCCTTCTTCGCCCCACTGAAGTCGGACTGAAACTGCGCGACATCGCGCTGTACGGTCTTGCAAATTGCGCAGTCATCGGCAGCGGCGTCTTCGAGGTCTTCGATAGATTGGTGGAAGGGTATGCCAATGGGTTCTTGATCCTTTGGACGGTCTTGCTTGTTCTTCCAGAGGTCCCTGAGAGGTTGGCTACTGATTTGGACTAGGCACGGGTAGTCGCGTCGAGTGACAGTATGGATTTTGTAATCGGGTGGTAGCTTGGGGATGTCGAGGACGTCGAACGACTGGCAAAGATCGCATAATGGCATGTTGACTTCTTTTTGATCAACTGCGAAGCTCTCATGTGTAGCCGTGATGAAAAGGCGAGCTGCACATCGGGCCCTTCTATAGATTTAGGTATTGTTGTTCTCTGTCGGCATCATCGCCAGGCAGCCGTGGTGGCGAATGTATATTGCCAGACCACTGCACGTGTTGGATTACCCCTGCACAGCACCTTGCACAGCGATTGGAGGCGAGTTAGGTTGCCTTGGTGAGACAACTTGATAGGTGCAGTTCGAGGCGTGGCTATGCCGGCACGAATATACTGTGCTGTGCGGGGGAAGGATCAGCCAATGGGCATAGCTCATCTTACGTGAATCTTTCCTTTGAAGCTTGTTCCTTCCATTTTTGCCAGCGCCTTGCTCTGGTTACAAGATGCTCCTTCTTACGTATGACTGCATTCATTCAGTACGCAGGCAATTCAGCGCAAATTCCCGTAGCCATGGACATGCCTCACAATTGTTAAAGCATTGCCCTTGTCATCTATAGCGAATGCCCACCGTACATTTTGCCTTCCACGACTGCTCCCACGTCTTTTGCCGAGAAAGCGCAATGGCCCAGTCCATCAGTATCAGTACTGACAACGCCCCACTGCAGTTTCTTCTCGGCAATGTTCTCACCACTGCCAACCTGTTCTGTCGGATGACAAGCTGCGCTGATGGCCATACTGCAGCTGCCCGCAATCGGCATTCCACGCTTGTATGGTGTGTACCCCAAAGCAACTATGCTGATGACCATTAGTCCACCCAACACTATCACTGATATGATGGCCGGCGGCGAGTAGCCCAGAGTCTTGTAATCGAAAAGCATGTCCGCTACATTATCCTCAACGCCCGGTTTCCCAAATGGGTCGTAAAAGTCGATGGCGATCAGGAAGATGCTTTGCGAAACCAGCCAGTGTAACGTGCCACTCAGCACCATGAGAGGTATACCGAAGCGATAGGGTAGCTGGAGGAAGTATGTCGACCGTTGAGCACCAGCAGGTTGATGAGTTACGCGGAGGCCTTTGCGCTTCCCCGAATAAGACACCCATTCGTAGCCCATTAGCATGGCGGTAAAGAGAGCATTATAGCTGAAGTACAGAAACGAGAGAGCTAGTTGGGGCGTGTTGGCGATGACAACGTTGGTAATCAAATCCGGTGGCATATAACTGATGGCTGTACGAGGATCCACAGCGCCTAAAGGCAATCAGCACCGTGCTTAATTTCACATGACAACCAAATCATACATACCAAATGAAAACTGATCAAAGGTAGCCCCCGTGGGTAGATGTTCGATTCCCATCTTAAGTAGGAAACCGACTATAGCTAGGGCAAGTAAAAACCTGATCGGTAATGTAAGCAAACTACCAACGATATATTTGGTTTAGCGGCGTAACCTACACAGCTACAACAACAATTCTGCGGGTGATGCTGGTCACATCTTTCCAGTGATAACGCCCGTCCCGCCATTGTCTTGGTCCCGCCTGATATCCTCTGTGGTGTCGAAAGTCTGCTAGTGTAGACAAACACATGTCCTTCGTTGTAACGTCTTCGTTTTCCAGAAACGAGACGACGGCGTCACCCATTGTCATAAGCGGCTCGTCGTGCACAAAGAATACAACATAGAACATTAGACATGCTTTGACTGTAGAAGAGTTAGAGTTGATTCGATCTCGAACGGTTGATCGACGAGCGTGTCCCTTACGCTGCTGCGTCTGTATAGGCGTAGAGAACGAGATCTGAACTCACAGAGATTGAGAATCGTAATGACAGTCGTAATAGTAGGCTCGAAGTGGAGCTTGCAGTGGGTTTGAGCCGGCTCACTTAGACAGTACTCTACTGGCGTACGTGACAGGTCGCAAAGCCATTCATCGTCGCAAAGCCATCCAACCTGCCAAAATTCTTGCTTCTTGACATCCTGTACCCTCACTGAACATGGGGTGAGTAGGTCGTGCGACGCGGAACATATCCATTTGTATGCATTGCTAGCAAACCCGGAATCCGACGCAGTGTATGCATCAAAACCCGCACCCCAATAAATGTGTGAGCCATTGATGAACTTGTTTTCCGTTGATGGAGGAAAGAAGCTATCATCGGACACTAAAAGCAGATTTCGATGGTTGGATTGTATGCTAGTGGCATATTCGTCAATGCATTTGTTGGGCTCAAGCTTTTCGAGGTTGCCCGCGCGTGCTTTCTCCCAGAGGGATTCAAGTACGGATGGGATTTCGCCAGGACTGGCACCGAGTCTGGTATCCCTGTATGGTCCACCTATGAAACTGTCACGGTCATGCGGGGTCTGTTCTGTGCAATTCGTGCAATGTTCACCGTCCAGAAATGCTCGCCCGACGGAGAACGCCCAGTAACTGTTGGATGATATCGAACCAAACACCGCGGAATTGTAACTGATAGATGTGAGTAACTAAAGCGCTAGGATCAGTCGCTGCCTTACAAAAGATGCAACGGCAAGGATGATAGTCCCAATGCTGCCCACAGCACAGCTCTACGCCGGCTGATATGTCTGAGATTGCGTATGCCAGGTACACCCACATCGAGGTATACACTAGGCTTGCGACTGTGGGCAGAATCGACTTCGCTTCGCGTTGGTGCAGATAAACACTGCATTGTGTAGTTGCTCCCAGCCAACAGGATCGTACTCAAGATGTTGATGCCAAGATGGAGCCCGGTGTTCAGCCTTTTGACGTGATCGCAATCGCCATCGAAGAAGACACCCTTGGCGCCAGAGGTGGCAGCCATACCTGATACCATGGCCACGAAATTAATGAGAAAGACCACTGAAGCCAAAATCGCGAAGTTGAGCACGCCAAACCGCCATCCAGTGAAGCGAGACCCTAGATGTTTCTCCACCGCACGCTTGCGCAACCCAAGTATCGATGCTGCCTTCGCGCGAATGCTTTGTGGTAGCTGCAAGCTCCCGAGAGGTTTTCCATTACGGTCAGTTTGGGCTGTAAGCGGTACCTGCATCTCGAGATTGCTATTGGATCTCCATTCGGGGTGTATCGTTGAGCGTATCCTAGAAGGCAATAACCGCCAAATTGAATCAGGCATTGCGAAACCCATGAGCAAAAATGTTGGATCCGGTCCAAATCGCTAAGAAGACTTTTAATAATCTTTAGAAGTAGAACAACGTTAAAGAGACCAAAGAAGCGCGTAGTACCATGCGAGAGATTGCACCCTCGCTGGTACGAGCCCACCTATCAGCAGTGCCGCCTGATTTTTGCCAAGTATACCGGCCGCACATTCTGATGGGTTGAGGCTTACTCTGAGCCTCCTGCAAGGCGCCCCGCGCCGCATTGGGGGCCAAAGTCTGGATGCTAATTCGGTCCTATATCGCCAATCCGTGTGTATGGGTTACGGTGAATGGACGACTATCGCACGCGTGTAGGAGAGTGAGATCAATGAACATAGTCATCGTATCCAAGACGTAGACGCAACGCGACGCGGGTGCGAGGAAGGTCCGTTTTCGTCGGGTGTTGCGCACCTCGGAACTAACGGAAGCAGCCTTCCCGAAAAGCGCCCAGCAATCTGTGAAACAGCACCATCCGGGGGTGTGACGGCGTAAATAACCATCAGCGGTGCCGGTGCGAGAAGGGCGGTCTCGACTCGGGCGCACCGTCCGCACGAGTCATAAACAGACTGGGAAAAGGTGCTGGCCGGGAAACGCGACGCCGCGTCGTGCGCGCGACATGTTCGCGTTGCTGAGGAGCGGTAGTGCGGCAGAGCTCGGGGCAGTGTCTTCTCAATGCTCGTTCGTCACCGCGGCAGCATGTTTGATCGTGTTTAACGAGCGAAGATCTACTGAAAATAGAGTCCAGAAGATTGCGTGCCTCGGGGCGTCGGTAAAGCACGTCAGCTTGCGCGTGAAGGAAGACCCGTGGGTCGGTCCGTGGCCACTTGGAAGTCACCGGATGCGAATTCAACAACAGCAGTTCTCAGGAAGTGTAGGTGATGTAAATGATAATCGTAGTTTCATTGAGTTCTTGCCTGTTGAGTTTAGCGGCACGTACTGGCAGATGCGACCGAGTGTCTTTGATCAAGCATCGCAGCGTAAGCATCATAATAATATAGTACATGTCAGATAGAGTCACTTCCGGTGAGCCACCCGATTCCACCGTCAACGCCGATTCGCCGAAGAAGAAACCCACATCGAAAACCGTAAATCAATGCAGCCGAAATGATAACTGAGACGTGTTTTGTTGCCGTTCGTGGGGTAAGGAAACAGGAAGGAAGAGAAGAGATGGGTTGAGACGCGTCACATCTCCATCGCGTCGGTGTCTGCAGTCGCCATAGGGGCGTCCGCGACTGGCTGGGAAACGGGTGTAGAGGCAGGCGACGGCGTCAACTGGCGAGCATTGATGCGCTCACCCTCCACACGGGGAGTTGAGCCGAACATGAGGTTGCTGACAGTTCGCTCTAATGACCAGCCAACGAGCTGGCACCACTGAAGGTTATCCGCGAATAACCAGTAGCCCTGGACACCGTGTTGCTTAGCGCGCACGAGATACGCGTTGAGTGATTCCTTCTCCAACATCACCAGGACGTCGGTGAAGTCGAAATGACGCTCAATCACGCGGGAGTATGCGCGTGCCGCGTCGCGTAGGTTTGGGTTGGTCATGACGTTCTTCCAGCCTACTCCGAGAGATGCGATGAGCGTGTTGACGGTGTTGCCTTTGTCGTCGATGAGCTCTTCGGTCTTCTGAGCATCCATCTCGTTGAGGGGAGTGATTTCGACATTGGCAGTTGGGCTCATGCGTACTGACTTGCGCGATACGGCGATAGGGCGAGCTTCAGCTTCTGCCTTCTCTTCTTTCTCGACCTTCTCTTCGTACCAGGTGCCCGATTGCGACTCGGCTGCCATGGTGTAGCCAGGCTCTCCAGGGTAGATGAGCGTCATCCCCGGGCCGTACACAGGCTCGGGCTTCGGCTTTGAAGGCGATTGAGTGACGATTGATCCGACGGGTAGGTTCTCCTCCGGGTCGTCGACGTCG